GTACAGTCACTAAAATGTTAAGTTCTTAGTAGGCATGTACCAAAGAGCTTTTTAGCCTGTGTTTTCTCAGAACAACATGAGTACTTGTCTGGATGAATATTGTGGGTTTTTTCTTCATAATAACACTCACTTTAATGAGATCAGTTACTATTTCTAAAATGGCAGGTAAAGGATGAAAAAAAGCCAGAGATTCTAATGACTCCTGCTGGTCTTCTCATCACTCTGACTCTAGAATATTGACTCTGTGATCAGCCTTCATTATCTGCATAGAAACCATCACAGCAAGAAAGTACACTGTCAGCTTCAGTATAAGGCTAGGTCTCAGTGAAATAAGCTGGCTGTAGACAAGCATTGTTACACACCTTTTTATCTCCTCAAATGACTAAGGCAAATCTTGTCAAGAACTGTGCAGTGCAAAATTGAAACTCAGACTTTGATTTCCTGCCTTGCAGATTACCAATTTAGTGAGTGTGAGATCATTTAGATCCTCTCTTTTTGTACTGCAGAATGGGTAATTAAAAGTCTTGTGTGGAGCTCTTGATGAAAAATACATCATCTTTGACAGGTGATGTACCTGTCAAAGAAAACCTGGAACATTATACAATTGTGATTTTTTTTTTCTTGAGATAGGTACAATATTTTGAAGATGGAAATGACATCGGAACCTTTCCTGACAGTGCCTGATGTTTCTAAAACTTCACTTCTTTCTCTGAGGTGTAAATTCTAATACTCCTTTTAGCAGCCTTTGTTCCTTGTACTCCTCAAATAGACATCATCCATTTCTTCCATTTCAGTTGTTAATTCCCTAGGTATGCCTGAAGGGAATGTTTAAAAAGAAAATTCCTGTATGCCTAGCTGGTCTGCAGAAATCAGATCTCTTTTAGGCTGGTTGGACTTTGGTTTTTGGTTTTGTTTTGTTATTTTTTCTTGCAGACTGAAGAATATGGGAATGAAATCTAGGCATCTCAGCTTTGCTAGTACTGACTCTGACAGCCAACATGCTCCAACAGTGACTTCAGTGGTTGCTGATAAATGAGACAGCAGGCCTGCATGTTGCCATCTTAATGAGACTGTATATTAACCAATGATCTCTAACTGTTCATAAAGTACTCATTAACCTGTCTTTCTCTTGTGCCTAATAGCCATTTAAAAATATCCTAAGGTGAATACTAATACCTACATTGACACTTAACCTGCAAGTGCACCTTTTTGTTTGATATTGAGACTGATACCTTGAACAGCTGAAATTTGGACATTTGCCACATACCTTGTTTTTGGGAAACCTAGTCATCTGCCAGGAGCTTAGATTTCAGTCCAGCCAAAACATTTGTAAGATTTCTTAGTTTGATTTCCCTTTTCTGGCATTATCAAGGACTGGTCTTGACTTCTGTATGATGTGAAGTGCTGTGAAACCACTGTGAAATCTTTACTGCCTCAGGAAGCAAATGTGAATCATGTTGGGGTATCAGGTGGCTGAATGGATCAAGCTTAAAAGGTTTGATCTGGTCTAGAAGGATGTGCCTTCTAAAACACCATGAAGTAATTTGAAGGTAAGTTTGTATATGAGCAGGTAAGAATTGTTATTGTAATTGTTACCATAGTTATTTTTGTAACTGACTTTGAGCAGAGAATGTGCCTGGGGAGTTACCCTATGATTGTTAATTTTGACAACGTCCTGGGGAAAATGTTGTCTCAGGATTCCTGCCCTGCTCTGGCTGCCCACAGACTCTCTCTGAAGATGTCTAGATGTGCCCTCCTCAGCAGGGTCTCCTCTCTGACATATCCTGAAACATTAGGCAGCTTCTTTGGAGTCAGCTCTTTTCCAAATAAAGGTGGGTCATGCCATTCTGTTTCAACATGTCATTCTGTTTCAACAGAAAGGTTTGTTTGTTAATTATTTTTAGATTATTTTTAGGAACTTGTTGATGTAGTGCCCTGGTGTGTGCAGGACTGTGGCAGGGCAGCTCACGACTGACAGCTGCTGGTGAATAAGAGAGCTGCCTGGAGATCTCCTCAGAGTGCAGGCAAGCTTTGACAGAGAAAGTGACAAGGTGACAAGGAGAAGAACTGACTGAGTAATCCAGCTATCTTTTAGTGACATGCCAGTTTCTGGCTTTCATTTGATACAGGTCAGTTTTGGAGTCTGGGTGAATTAGGTGCAATTCTACGAATCCAAACTTTACAGAGTGAGTACCCTGAAAAAATCACACAGTCAGAAGATGAATAGAGCTGTGATGGTAAGGAAAAGCAAGGAAAATATAGACTGTTTTCAGGTATGCTTTTCTTGTGAGATGGAGGTAAAGTTAAACAGTTATAAGGGTGATTGAGAGGCTGGAAATAAGTGTGTGTCCCAAGGAGCCAGTAGATGACAGGCACTTTGCTGGGTGCCTATGTGCATGACCACCTTTAAAAAAAACTCACAGTAGTCTGTGATCCGAGCTACTGATGAGACTGATATTTGTGAGAGAGGCAAGGATTCATCTCATTCCATCTGAACTTCCTGATCTGGCCTGACCCAAGATGAGGACGTCACACCTCTCTGCCTGCACAATCTCCTCCAGTCCATTAGTAAACTAGTTTGAAATGTAATGGGAAGGAGGTACAGAGCCAAGGAAATCTTTAACTTGATGATGCTCATCAGTAGGAGTAATCTATTCACACAGAAGCAACCCAAGTGGTAGTGATGTGCTATTTTTTAAGGCTGTCCTGTCAGCAAATTATTTAATACTGTAAGATATTTGTATGCATAATTTATAATAAATCCCACCGCTAGGGACAGGCATTTGACTTTTTAATAATTTGTGAAAGTTTTCATGATGTGGGACAACTCACATTCTCTGTGTATGTCTTTCAGTTTAACAGCTTATGGATTTAAAATTACCTTGGATTATTTCTTCCAGCAGAATTCTGGGTTATAGCCATGAGACATATTGCCAGGGCTAGCTGGCACATTGCAGTTCTGCAGGCAAGACAAGAACTGCATGGATACTGCGAAAAAAAAAATCACAAACTCCCTCAAAACTATACTACAGGCAGCTTTGGCAAACCCTCATTGGATGTTTTCCAATGAGAACTTACATCTCTAGCACCACTAAAACACACCCCAAAGAATGGATGCACTTATGGGAGATGTGTAGACCTCTTGCCATCACCTGCTTCAGCAGACAGAAAAGCGGTGTCCCTCTTTGTGACTTTGGTAACAGAGGTGGCTGGTCAGCAGGTCCACCTGAGTGCTGCTGCTGGCCTCAGCAGCACTGCATTACACACTCTGCAGTTCAGGCTCCTGTCCAGAGGCCCCAGGGTTGGAGTTCTCACCCATACCCACAGCTGGAGGCTTTGGCTCGGCCAGTGCCCAGTGGGATGCTGGAGCAGCACACCCAGAACTGGCTGGGACCAAATTCCTGGTGCTGGAGGAATGACACTGACAGCAGCTGAGCTGAGTCATACTTGTAAAATTATTCTGAAAGGTGCCCTGGAAAAAAACCATTTAAACAGAGGAAGGAAGCTGAGTCCCTGGAGTTGCTCAGCTACTTTTTATTGCTGCAGACACTGCTGGCAGCCTCCTTCATGAGAGACCTGTCCAAAGTGGTTGAGCTCAAAGTGTACCTTGGCAGGAGCCCAAACACACAGGGTTCATGTTCAGACATGGCACCTCAGTGTGCCTTCAGATGACCCAAAGGCCCCCTAGATCCTTCTGCCTCCACAATGGTCACAGACACCTTTTTCCACTGGCCTTTGTGTTTGGTCCCTACTGCTTGAAAGTATTTTAAAACAGCAACCCCTCAGAAAAGTGCACCTGCAGCAGTGGGGTTTGAGCATGAAGGTGAGTGAAAAGAGACTGGTTGTTTCACACTGTCACACACATGCAGAGTATGTAGAGGGAAAGCATTATTCCAGGAGGGTCAAACTTGAGTGTTGTCAAGTGTGCACCAGGATGGGGACCTGTGGGGCTGATAGGACTGTTTCAAGGCCACTTTTGGAGCTGGGGAGTCTGCTGGGTTGGTTGTGGTGAGCACCAGGGCACAGTGATAGGATGTCTGAGGATTCTGTTTATTCTTACCCTAAAAGCACTGACAGTCTCTAAATGCAGTCCTAATTGTGTAAGAACCCCTCTTCTGTGCAATGAAATTCAAGCTGGTGCCTCATGCCACTCGGTAGGAAGGGAGTCCTGTGGGGAAGGGGTGTCCCATTTCCAAAACCAAACTGCAGCCCCAATGTTATTTCCTCACAGCTTCAAGTTGGTATGTGAGTCAATAAAAATCCCCAGCTCACATCCTTCCCAGAAATGCCAGTCAAAACCCAAGCAGCTATTCACCCAAAGTACCAATTTTATAGTTCTGTGTGTGTCTATAATCTATTTACCAGCATTCCTATTTCAGTATGTGCCTGTTAATAAGATTAGTAATTAAAAAGCTTGATAGGAATTGGCAAGCGTAGCTCCTCCGCCTTTCCCTCCCCTCCGAGCCGGACTGGCGTGGAGCGTGAGGCACGGTTGGCAGAGTACCTGAGGGAGTGAAGGCAGGAGGCTCTGCAGGAACCTCTGCCTGCAAGAAAGCAATGGAGAAATCCCGACCCTTATGGGACAATCCCCTGCAGTTTGTTTTTGCCTGCATTTCCTATGCTGTGGGGCTGGGAAATGTGTGGAGGTTTCCATACTTATGTCAGATGTACGGAGGAGGTAAGTGTGGTTTACATTTTCTTGCTTCCCTCGAGGAGGAGTGGGGCAAGCTTTAAGTGCAAAAGTATATTGTCTGTGTTCATGCTTTGTCCACCCAGCAAGGTCCAGGGCAGAGAGGAGGTCTGGCTTTTTATTGTTGTGCAATCTGTTTTATTGTGGCTTTATTTTATGTATTTAGCATTTGGCTTTTACCTGACAGCTGCCCAGTATAGTAGCATTTGTTTCCTGTAAGTGCAATGAAACAATGGGAAAGTCCATCTATTGTTGTGCAATCTGTTTTCTTGTGGCTTTATTTTATGTATTCTTTAGCATTTGGCTTTTACCTGACAGCTGCCCAGTATAGTAGCATTTGTTTCCTGTAAGTGCAATGAAACAGTGGGAAAGTCCATGTTTTCTAAGAATACTGAGATAGAGAGGTATAGATCCACATAGTATTCATTTATTATATTTTTGCCCCACTGAATCACTTTGAAGGCGTCAGAAACTGGTTAATGTTCTTGTACATTTGCCTATGGGGACTTAGAAAATATTGAGAAGAGGATGTGATTATACTGATTTAACTTAAAGATCAGCTGTATTATTTCAAGTACCTGTCATTAATACCTTGTCTTTTATACAAAGCCTTACTTTAGGAGATGATAACTTAGCTGCAAATCTGCCTTGATGTTGGCTGAAATGCCTTAATCAACAGGAGTTCCATATCTAAAGCCTCCCAGGAATCTTTGGAAAGAAGGAATAAATTGATTTGTCCTCCAAAAATAAATAAACCAACAAAAAAGACCTCAAAACCCTCTTTGAAAGTTTTTCCTCCTCCTGGGTCCAAACTAAAGGAAGATGATATTTGTGGCATATATGAGCCACAGCTGTTCTTCCTTAGAAATCAAAAGTCAGTTAATTAGATCAATGAAAGACCACTATTAATAATCTCCTCTAGTATACAGCTGCCACAGTTTTGAAGAATCTTTAGAAACAGGCTCTCTATAAGAAAACCAAGATTTTTACTGCTTCATACTTCATCTGTTGATATAGCTGGGGACCTTTCTCAATCTTGCATTAAGGGACATGATGAGCATCTGCCTCATCTGCTTCTGTTCTCCTTCTGCCTTTTCCTCCTTTCAGGAAGAAACACTGAGATGTTAAACAGCTTTTTTCTTTTATGCTTGTTTTGTTGGCTTGTAGCTTACTTCTGAATGCACTTATGGTGGTAGCAGTTGGTTCATGCTGCTGTTTGAAAAGCCATCTCAGTGCTGAGACTGCATCAGAGCTATCCTGTGGGATCAGGTCAGAAAAATCCAGATAATATTGTGGGTGAAGTGTCAGTAGAAGATAGATGCTGCAGTGGCTGAAGCTTTCTTAGACAGTTCAGATAGCAGAAATGATAGATGTGCAATAATTTTGTGTGTATTCCCCTCCACATGCTTTAAGGGTAAAGGCTTCATATCTGACACTGAACTCTAGCACAAAGCTTAAACTGTGTTTCTGTACAGTCAAACTGCACATGATCAGTTCACTAGCAGCCCATCATGGCAGACATCCTGAAGGACACCAAAACTCTGACATTTTGGGGGCTTTGTGTCATTCTTTTAACCAGCCATGTGTATTGTGGTGAAAATTCTCTGAAATGTAACCAAAACTGGAAATTTGGTTAACCTGAATAGAAGCTTAAATAAGCTTCCCTGCTCATTGCAAGGGCTTTGGACTAGATGATCTTTAAAAGGTGCCTTCCAACTCAAACTATTCTATGATACACCCTAGAATTTTCTAAAAAGCTTGTTTTTCCATTATTTTTCTCTTCACCACTTATGGAGTGGTGGAAAGGCAGCTCTTTCCACTGTGAAATTAAAACTCCTGACAGGACGTTTTGCTTTTCTTAATTGTTTTATCCACTGCCCTCTTAAAGAGGATTTTGTGGCTTTCCAGGGGTTCACAAAACCCATGCATACAGAACATGGTTTCAGGAACTCAAAAGCTGGATATGTCAGGCACTGGGATTAATTAGGGGGATGCCAGCTTGTTTGGTGTCTTCCTTGTAGTAAAGCACGGAGCCAGTCCCTGTCCTGCCCAGCAATAGAGCCCTTATCGCGGATGATACTGAGTATTTGTAACCTGAGTGTTTGCAGACTTTGTAACCTGTCATTCTGTTCATCAGCAGTTTCCTTTGTTCTGCTCCTTCTCCTTGCTTTCCTGCTGAGAGCAGGGCCTGAGCAGAGCGGGGCGCATTCAAACCTCGTAGGCGCAGCTCCTGTCCCTCAGCGGCCGGGCCGGGGCTGCAGCGGGGCTGGTGCTCAGCAGCGCTCAGCCCTGCGCCGGGAAGCCCCTGGGCACCAGGCAGAAGCCTGAGCAGGGGCGAGGGTGCCACTGGCCAAGCCCGGTGCCTTGGGCAGAGCCAGGGCACACTCCGCACGTTTTGCCAGCGACAGGGATCTGGCCCGGGGCTGGTTTTTGCAGGCAGCAACGCCCGGAGCCGATGAGCGGGGATTGAGTGGAGCTGACTCACAGCTGCCCAGGAGCGGGTCTGTCGGCTGCCCGGTGTCACTTGAGTGAGACTTTCTGTTCTCCTCTCTGGGAAGAGCAGCACTAGGAGCAAGACCTGCGTGCAAACAGGATGCAGAGCAAGGGGCAGGGGCTTAGCACTGGCACCCCCAGCTGCGGGGGGACACTGGGGTGAAGAACAAGCCTGAAGGCATTTCTCCTCCTTGCCAGTTGGCACGGTCAATGCCAAACACGCGGCCGCGCTGCTGGGAGGGTGGAAAACCTTTGCCAGGGCCTAATGCTGATTCCCCTGCGGTACATGGCAGGGCTCCCTCGGGGGCTGCTGGGGCAGCTCGCACCCCACCGGCACAGGGCGGCTGCGGGAGCTCTTAAACCTCCGACAGCTCCCTTGCGGCATAGGAAGTTATCTAACAGACTAACAAAGGGGTTGTTAATAACAAGAGAGCTGGGAGGTGGGAAATTAATTCCCAGAATAAACCGGATTATTGCTCTGTGTTTATTTCCAGGTCTTTGCCTCAGTCGCTGCATGGAGTTCGTTCCTCCACAGCGCTGCACAGAGCCCATTGCAAGGAATGTTAATGCCACAGATTAAATCCTAAATAAGAGATATTTACGTAAATATTTTGGCTTGCTGTAAAAAGGGAAGCAGGGAAGCCTTCACAAAAATCCAGCTTTTGACTCAGTCAGCAGCTCTTTCTGAAGTGAGCCCCAGGTCAAATACAAGGATTTTATTTTTTTCCAGCAGAAATTTAAGCCAAAGCACATCCTGGTTGCCAGGAGGGAAGGTCCTTTTCCTTTCCTTGCTGTCAACCTTCCATTCCTGCTGTTCTTCTTCTACAGGAGCATCTCTATGTCTCTCCATGTGCAGGAAAGCAGGGAAGAGTGCCCCATGCAGGAGACTCAATGCCTGTGTTCCAGGGTCTGCTCCCAGGCTGGGAGGAAAGGCCCTGGGGGAAAAGCCTTCATTCATTTGTTGGTGTTTGTGGGCTCAGCATGGGAATTTGGGAGCTTTTTAGTTTGGTTTTTTGGTTGTTTGTTTTCTATTTTTAAGCAAGGCCAAACTTTAATATGCAACTCAAAACTCTCTGACACAGATGTTGCTGTTACCTTTTCTTTGAGCACTTTGGCTGTGCAGCAGAACACCCCACACTGAAGTAAATCTTTCCCTCATCCTCTTTGTCTCTTTATTGGTTACAAGGTTTGGCAGGTGGTTGGTTACCCTTTAACAGCCCCAGCCCCCAGCATTGCTCAAACCGCCCGAATGCATCTGGGCAGGGCTGCCACACAGCAGTGCCAACCAACACAGTTTAACAGCAGAAATTCCAGCCCTGCCAAGTTCCTGCGGAAAATTCCCAGAGAGTCAGTGCCCACCAGCCTCTGGGACGCTGCCTGAAACCTCTGTGAGATGTCTTTCAGGATTGGGCCGTGCCATCAGTACTCCAGGTACCTGGACAGGACCAGGACCCAGACCCAGCCAGCCCCTGGGACACTGACAGCATGACTTGAGCACAAACAGGGCCAAGTGGTGTTAATCTTGCTGCTGACCTGCTGAAGGCTGGCTCTTGGGTTTGTTCTCACAGGTGGCTTTCTGATCCCGTACCTCATCATGCTGATTGCCGAGGGGATGCCGCTGCTGTACCTGGAGCTGGCCGTGGGGCAGCGTATGCGGCAGGGCAGCATCGGCGCCTGGAAAATAATAAGTCCCTACCTCTGTGGTGTTGGTATGGTCTCAGTTTCCATCTTTATTTTCCAGCATGCAGGGAACGTAGGTGATTTTAGATTGGAGAGCTTTGTCTTTCAGAAAAGACCCAGGTGGGAGCTCAGGTTTTACTGGGTCTCACCAGGCTGAGCAAAGCCAGACACCTCACGGCATGCTTTTATCCTGTCCCTTGTTGGGCCCCTTGTTGGGCACTGGGGCTGCTGTGTTGGGCCTGGATTCAGAGGTGTGAGTTCCCCTGCTCTCAGGCAGACTGCCAAAATCATGTTGTGGAGGCCAGTGCTAATGCAGCCCTTGGGGCTGCTTACATTGGGCTTTGGCCCCAAGAGCACCTTCCCAAGAAGCTCAACATGAGTGATAAAATGGTGCCTTTATTTCTACTGTTCCAGTCTACCATTTACCAATGTCCACTCTTAGCTACATTTTTATGTTATTAAATTACCCTGAAAACCCAAGATATCATTAATTTGCATAAGCACACTTAAAAAAAAAAATTGTACATTGAATAGTCATTCCTCACGGCCTAGAGTATCAAATCCAGGTCAGGATAGTCCTGGTGGGAGGAGGAGGAGGCAGTGACTACAGTGACAGGGACATGCCCTTGCACATGGCTGTGCAGGGACAAAGCCTCTCCTGTGTCAGCCATGGAGGTGCTGCTCCTGCATCCCACAGATGCTGTGGAGCCCTGGGCATTTTGGGGCATTAAATTACCCTGAAAACCTAAGCTATCATTAATTTGCATAAGCACTTTTTTTTTTTAAATTATACATTGAACATTCATTCCTCACGGCCTAGAGTATCAAATCCAGGTCAGGATAGTCCTGGTGGGAGGAGGAGACAGTGACTACAGAGACAGTGACTACAGTGACACAGGACATGGCTGTGCAGGGACAAAGCCTCTCCTGTGTCAGCCATGGAGGTGCTGCTCCTGCATCCCACAGATGCTGTGGAGCCCTGGGCATTTTGGGGTTTTCTGCTGACCAAGTGTCTCTCTCCATACCCACAGGAGTTGCCAGTGTTGTCGTCTCCTTCTTCCTCTCCATGTACTACAACGTGATAAACGCCTGGGCCTTCTGGTACCTCTTCCACTCCTTCCAGGTCTGTGGGCTCCCAGCGCCCAGCTTGGCCCTGCTGTGGCTGCGGAGGGTCACTGTGGCTTTTCATTGTTGCTGGATGTTGCATGGCTTTGTCAGCTGGGAGTGGGGAGGTGGAGGGGTGTCAAAAGCTTCAGAAACCCTGGGCTTTGCTGGAGGGAAAAGTCAGGCAGTGATGTCCTCCTCCGTGGGTCCTTCCAGAGACATTGGCTGTTGTCTTCTCCTCACCATGTAATTCAGGTCAAGGCCAGGTTTGTGATGCCTTGGTCACATGTGCCTCGGTGCCAGGGTGTCCTGCATCCTGGGATGGGACTCTCTGATGTCAGGAAGGGGTTTGGTCCCACAGCAGAGGCTTGGAGACTGTCATGTCCAGGGGGGAGGGTTAAAGAGGCTCAGTCCTTGGGAAGAGAATCAGTCTGGTCATCCCCAAGGAAGAGGGACAGAGCTGCTCTGTCCTCGGGTAGGGGTTTCAGAAAGGGTCATCCCAGGGGAGCGGATCAGAAAGCATCAGTTCTTCGGGGCCAAGGGAGATTGTGAAAAGAGCTCATCCCCAGGGGAGAGGGTCATCCCCAGCCCCGGCAGCACCATGCAGAGAGAAGCAAGCCCCGGCAGAAAGCCGCCCTTGCCATCGCCCTCCTGTTCCCCAGCGGCACCTCGGCTCTCCCTGCCATGCCGGCAGCCGCACTCACTCCAGGGCCCTTCCCCCAGGACCCCCTGCCATGGGCCACCTGCCCCATCAACAGCAACCGCACGGGCTATGAGGAGGAGTGCGAGAAGACATCCTCCACGCAGTACTTCTGGTACCGCCAGACGCTGAACATCTCGCCGTCGCTGGAGGCCAGCGGCAGCGTGCAGTGGGAGCAGGCGCTGTGCCTGACGCTGGCCTGGCTCGTGGTTTACCTCTGCATCCTCCGCGGCACCGCCTCCACCGGCAAGGTGAGCCCGCCGAGGAATGGCTGCTGCCCCTTGGGGTCACGGCATCCCCCCGCAGCACCGGGCTCTGCCGCCCTGCCGAGTCGCAGCTGAAGCAGGATCAATCAACACGTTGAATGATACTGAAAAAATAATCCAGGGAAGCCCTTTAAATACAGCCAGCTCTCTCTCATGGAGCTGTCAGGCTGCTGGCCGTGAGGAAAGCCGTCTGTCCCAGCAGAGCCGTGTCAGGAGGCCTCTGTTCCTTGGTCTTTGCAAGAAAAACAAGACATCTACTGGACATGTTTTGCTTGCTTTTTATTCACAGCAGAAGTTATGAGGAAGTGGGAGAAAAACCCCAATGTCCTGGCTGAGCCTGTATTAAGCAGCAAGCTGAGGGCTGTAATCCCCAAATCGTCTTAGCCGAATACAGAAAGCCAAGAGACTGTAAACTAGGAATAACCTCTTAAACTTGCTGCAAGTGATTCAATTAAATTTTGATACAATTTGGTTAAATTCAAGTTTGATTTTGACCTTTTATAAGCTCTGCTTGTCTTCCTTGTAGAGCAAACATCATGGTGATGATCATGTGATGATCACCTTTGCCTAATGAGTTTTTGATGGATGGTTGTGAACTGGTGTTATGCCACCAAATGGTGTAGAACCCAGTTTGCAACTGCTGCAAATATTTTAGATTTTTGTTTGATTTCCATTCTAAGAGAAGACACTTGGAGTAGTAGTGCAGGTCTTCAGGATTATTAAAAACTTGTTTCCCTAAAATGTAAATCTAAAATTAGATTTGTCTGATAATATTTCTTTAAAGATTAATACAGGATAACAAACACATTAATGGAAATTATTTATGTAAAGTGAGACTGACATAGCAGATTAGCTTTGTCTTACATATTCTTTAAACCAAGGTCTTTACCTTCTTTCCCCAGGTCGTCTATGTGACAGCCTCTTTGCCATACTGTGTTCTCATCATATACCTCATCAGAGGATTAACACTTCATGGAGCTGTGAATGGGCTCATCTACATGTTCACACCAAAGGTACAGAAAAAACTGTATTGAATTTTTCAGGAAGCATTATCAGTTACTGGGCACATAAGTTTTTAAAAGGTCTTGGTCTTCCTTTTTTTTTATACTGAATTTTTGCTGCAGTAACATAGGTCTGGCAGCTGGAAACCTCAGCTGGGAATGGCTGGAGATGCCATGGTGCCCATAAGCTGCTTGCTTTTTCCTGCAGAAAAAGACCTTCCCATTAGCATAACCTACTGCTTTCAGTCAGAGCAGTAACCCTGCCCAAAAACACCCCTGACCTGTAATGAATGCACAGAGGGCCCATCCCTGCAGGCTGCAAGGGGCAGGGCTGGGCACTTAGAGGAACCTCATGGTCTGGCTCTCTCGTCTGGCCTTTGCAGCTGGAGCAGCTGTCCAACCCCAAGACCTGGATCAGCGCTGCCACGCAGATCTTCTTCTCGCTGGGCCTTGGCTTCGGCAGCCTCATCGCCTTTGCCAGCTACAACGAGCCCTCCAACAACTGCCAGAGACACGCCATCATCGTGTCCCTCATCAACAGCACCACCTCCGTATTTGCCAGCATTGTCACTTTCTCCATCTACGGCTTCAAGGCGACCTTTAACTATGAGAGCTGTATCAACAAGTAAGAGCCCGCTGTTGCACTGGTTTTCCGCTGCTGTTCTGGGGCACATGAAGGGGGAGGTAAATAAATAACACACGCAGCCCTGCCAGCGCTGCCCCAAGAGCAGAGCTGATGCTGTTTCACTGGTTTTCCACTGCACGCTGTTCTGGGGCACATGAAGGGGAAGGTAAATAAATAACACACGCAGCCCTGCCAGCGCTGCCCCAAGAGCAGAGCTGATACTGCTCTAATAAAGCTAAAGGAGCTATTCAAAGCGATGAAGCCTGAGATAAAGGGTCAGAGCTCTTTGCCTTTTCACAGCTGGGTGCTGCTTCCAGGCACAGACCTGGTCAAGAGGGTGAGTTTGCCTGGGCAAGTCACAGAGGCACTTTCCCCTGTGTTCTTGTCATGGCCCATGCTCCAGGGAGTGTGGGAGAGCTTATTAATAAATGCAGTGATGTTCAGATCCTCTTTTTTAAGGCTAAGTCCTTAAGTTCCACGAGTTCAGCTCCCTTGGCTGTGATGCCACGCAAGTGCCCAGCAGCCTGCAGGATTGTGTCCTGTAGCTGCAAGCTTGCGTGCAGTCCCTGGCACAGGGCCCACGGCAGTTACACATCTACTCATATTTTTAGAGCTTTCAATCCATCTGTTGATCAGAGAGGAAACCAAGCTGCTAGTCCTCGCTTGTTGACAAAAGACTTTAAAGTTGGTGGGGTGTGGACGTGAGACCGCAGGGCAAAGGGGAAGAGACGCCAGCCAGCACTGGCCAGCACCCAAGATAGCTGCCTGGGAGCAGCAGTGTGGGCACAGGAGCTGCTCCCTCCAAGGCACAAATGAGCACAAGGTTGCCATATCCTGACACTGTGCTGGAAGTGCTGCTCTCACCCAGGGACACTGAAGCCTTGGGAGCAGCAAAGCATCCCCATGAGGCTGATGGGGAAAAGGGATGAGGTGCCCTGGGCCTGAAAGCCATTAAATTCTTGTAATCCTTCCCAGGGTGATCCTGCTGCTGCTGAATGCTTTTGACCTGGAGGAAGGCTCTTTAACAGCAGACAACCTCAATGAGATGAAAGATTACCTCATGGCCACTCACCCACAGGAATATGCCCAATTAGCACCACAGATTAAAAACTGCAGCTTGGAGGCTGAGCTAGACACGGTGAGTTGCCACTTTGTGGTGTCTCCTTTGCTCCCAGTGACCCCAGCCACTCCATGTGAGCCCAGGAGCTGCCTGGCCAGGGCTGGGGGTCATTTCTACACCTCAGGATGGGACAGGGGCTCGCTTGGGTCATTAGCATCCAGTGTCCATGCAGTTGGGATGAACCAGTGAAGATCTCACCAACCTCTGCTGTGCAAAGCCACACCTCAGGTGTACATTGTCAAGACACAGAGTCACTCTCTTTTGTCTTATGTCCTTTATTGAGCTGAGGAGCTGCCTGCAACTCAGTTTTGTCCCCTTGTCTCCATCAGGCTGTCCAGGGGACGGGACTGGCATTTATAGTCTATTCGGAAGCGATCAAAAACATGGAGGTGCCCCAGCTGTACTCTGTGCTCTACTTCTTCATGCTGCTGATGCTGGGCATCGGCAGCATGCTGGGGAACACGGCTGCCATCCTCACACCGCTGACCGACAGCAGGGTCATTGCCTCCCGCTTTCCCAAGGAGGTGATCTCGGGTAAGCACCTGCCAGGCTGCAGCCAGGCCACACGGCGAGCACGGGGGTGTGTGTGTGCAGCAGCTGTGGTGTCCCCTGCTGTTGAGTGAAGTGCCACTCCACTCTCTGACCTCGGGTGGAGCAGGGAATAGCAAACATGCTGCTGGAAGGGTGTGCCTGCCCTTGTGAAATCCTGCCCATCCTGTGCAGCCCTTTCCCTTGGGAGCTCCCAAAGCACCAGGGCAGTCGTGGCTGTGTATTTCCAGGCTTCCCAACACACCCCAGCTCCTTCAGACTTGTGTCTCCTGACTGGTGAAGCTCAAAGGGAGGGTACAAATGGCAATATAGTTGCAGCAAGTAGCTGTTCAGTCACATCACCAGTATCCCACCTGTGAACCACCTCAGCCGTTGGTCAAAAGAAATATGTGCTCCTGTCTGGGCATGGAAATCAGTTGTCCTACCTTAAAACTTGTTTCAGCTGGATGCCCAGCGGCAGATGCTGCATGCATGTGTGACAAGGCTGTAGCTAAGACTTGACTGTCTTGGCCATGTCTGGGGTGATGTGCTGTGACTGTGCAGGTCTAAGGAGCAGCAGTTTAATGACAGTCACACATGCAAAGGGGCAGGTCTTTTCCACAGGGGAAAAGAAAATCCTTCTCCTCAGAGAGAGCTGCTCAGCAGAAATCCCACCAGCTTGTTAGTCACAAGAAGTGTGACATTTTCCCTACACAAACTTCCAGGTGTAATGGCAGGATCCATGTTTTATCCACACAGGTGTTGTGTGTTTCATGAATTGTATAATTGGCCTGATCTTCACCATGGAGGCTGGAAATTACTGGTTTGACATCTTCAATGACTACGCAGCCACCCTCTCGCTGCTGCTCATCGTGCTGGTGGAAACCATCGCTGTGTGTTACATCTATGGGATAAGGAGGTAAAAGCTGGAGCCCTGCTTCCTTCATAGTGTGACAGCTGGGGGAGCAGCCACGGCCCAGGAATAAAAGTACTGCCTTGGGAAAAATGTTTCTCCTGTGCTGTAGGATCAGCAAGGGCAAGGGTCTCCCCTGCCCTGCAGACCCCCTCTGGGGCCTTGTCGCACATTGTTTGTCTCCCAAGTCAATCCTTGTGGGTAAAAGGGAGCTCTGGAATCTGAAGTTTTGAACAGCAAATGCGTTTGAAAATAGCTGAAATGAAAGGCTTCAGCATTTCTTTGTTAGTCTGCCAGCACAGAGGGTGTCCAGGCACATATGTGGGTATTTCCTCCCTGATGAGTTCAAAGCCTTTGAGTCAGATCCAGGTCTCCTGTGAGATTTTAGGTACCATTCCCAGTGTCAGTGTTCCTCAAAGACAGTCAGGTAACAGCACTGAGAACTCAGCTACATACACCCAGCTGTTTTCTCCACAGTACTTCAGCATCATTCCTTCTCCTGTCAGCTGACACCAGTAACAGCCTGAGCTTATGCTTCAGGCAGGACTCTCTTGCTGTACCTATTTCTAGCTACTCTCTGCAGTTTGGGATTCTCTTGGAAGCCTCACTGTCTTTCTTGATTTCCTCCTCACGGTGACTCTGTGAGCCAGCTTTTCAGACAACAATTCTCTGCTCATTTGTGGACAACTGTACTCCCCTTTCTCATGTGACATACTTCGTTCTGTAGGTGGTTTTTGAAGTAACTCAGAACAAGGTATTCATAGAGTGTCTGTAACCAGTCTCAAAAATACACGTTTGGTTTTCTTCACAAAAATGTTTGGTTTTCTTTTGAACAGATTTGAGAAAGACCTTTACACCATGATGGGAAGCAAGCCAAACTGGTATTGGAAAATTATGTGGGCTTTTGTTAGTCCACTGCTTATTATAAGCCTATTTATTTTTTACCTCACCGACTATATCCTCACAGGAACATTGCAATACCAAGCATGGGACGCCACACAGGTAAGAGTTTTGGGTTTGGGCTTTTTTCTGTTTTAAACCTTCCTTAATTCCTGCCATAATACAAGCTTCTTTCCTAACTACACTGTTCCATGAAATGGCCTTCTGGGAGTGAGGAGCTGGAGTCAGGGCCATCCTTTAATTTTGTGAAAAGGAAAACCAGGGAAAACTTGACTTGGTGGTGATGCAATGATTCTGTAAAATCAACTCATTTCCCTCTATGATTCTTAATCAACGCTTCATAGAATTTCCTTTCATATTGAAGACCCAAATATCATCTTTAAAAACACACTTAAAACCCTCTACTTTTAAAGTGTACTTACTTTGAACAAAATTAGTGGTACTTTAAGCTGCTGGAATAAGTAGTTTTCATCATTTCCATATACATTTTTCTTCATGCCCAGAACACTTTCCAAATACTGGATTGTGCTGTGATCACAGAGCAATTACTAATGGATAAGTAATCACTGGTTTCGTAACATTTTGTGGAAATGTTTCCATCATGCAGGAACAAAGCTCGTAATTGTTTTCATGTCATGGCCAATTTAGGACTCCAGGCAGGCCTGGCCTGTTGACTGGGTGTCAGCATGAGCCCACAGGCTCCAGGAAAGGAACAGAGCCCTGACAGAGGTCAGGGCCCAGCCACCTCATTAAGAAACACAAATCAAGCCAAAATCTGCTCTTTACCAAAACTTGCAGAAGTTTCCCCCACTCCTGTTGTCAGCAGCTCTGTTCTTGTCAGTTTTCAGTGTGTGTGGTTGGGCAGAGAACACCGAGGGCAGCTGTGGGCTGCCACAGACTGGAAATGCTTCTCAGAGGTCCTGCTTAGATCCATACACACAGCTTTGCTCCTGGCCCGACTCTGGGACAGATCTCACAGACCCAACACTGCTTTTCTCCCCTGCAGGGGCAGCTGGTGACCAAGGATTACCCAGGCTATGCCCTGGCCGTGATCGGGCTGCTGGTGGCCTCATCCACCATGTGCATACCCCTGGGAGCACTAATGACTTTTATAAGGAAGAGAATGAAGAGGGAACGAGTTTCAACTGTTGCATGAAAGCTGACAGCTGGATTTGGGAGGACCTTACCCCCGTCACCAGTGACTGGGCACTTCTGGAAGACAGCAGCAACCATTATTTGTAGCAGCTACTTATAGAGTTGAGAATGGTGGGTGCTATATTGACCAAAAAGTGCTCTTGGGAGGTTCCACAATGGTTTGGGGAAAAAAAGCTCTTCTGTAACAAGATGAAGCTTTAAACCCTCTGTAAGAGGTGAGAAGAAGAGCAGCTCACAAAATGCCAGCTAGCACAAATTAACCAGCACATCAGCCCATTACATATTAGGTGATTATTTTCCACTGTTGTAGCACTGCCTGTGTGGAAACATGAATAACCAAGCATGTTCCTGCACCAATTTACCAGCAAATGCCCACAAACCATTCAAGACACTCAAGCATACTCATTGTTTGAAATGACATGTATTTCATAAACAGGTGAAACTCTTGGAAGCCTGGCAGTGAGAATGTGACAATTGCTTTCCTACCTGGGAGTAATCAGCAGGATGGCACTGGGAGAAAATGTGGCCAACACTGCTTCTTTTATACTTGTGTCCAGCAGAGCAGTGAATATATATATTTATATATGTATGTATCTATATATATATGCACACATATGTGTGAGCTGCACAAGTTCTGCCACCTCCAGAAGTAAGCTTCCAATTCCAGCATGCAACTGTGCTGTACTTTGTATTTTCTAGTGATGTACTTTAAGTACACTAGAAGAGATCTGTGATAAAGCTGCTTTACGAGCCCCACCCAAACAACAGTATGCCATACAATTAGCTTTGACAAAGTTCATATCCAGGTATTCTTTAATCATCAGATGTAACAATCCAGCAGTTCCGTGGACCTGGTTAATTTCCCATGTATGTAAATGTTTTATAAAGAAAGCAACATGTTTAAATTGCAAGCTTCATGTAATAAAAACCATTAAAATTATATCTATGAACTTTAGAAAAGGTTGCTCTGAAGAACAGTATTAGAGATGCTCACAGGACAGGGGTTCTTAATACAGTGTCTTAACTATGGAACCATTAGAAGATGGCAAGTGCCTTAGAAAAGAGGGATTAATTAATTTAACACTGTTAAAGCACAACACAAGTCTCTTGTTCTGGGGCACAAAAAGCAAGAGGAATTTACAGCCCCCAGGGGTGGGCAAAATCTCGACAGTGACAACCAAGATCGGGGTAGTCTGCAACAGCCCTAGAAACAGGACACACCTGCCTCCCTCCCCAGGCTTTGCTAACAAAGGAAAGACACCTTTTCACATTTCAGTTTATTAAAAACCGATACCATAAACAAGACCTGTACAAAATAAACCTGAAATTGACTAGAATATGGTAGTTGCCCAGAATTGCCCAGAAAATGCCCAGAATATGATGAGAAGTTATCGTCTTGGGCCTCCTCTTCCTCTTCCACGACCTCGGCCTCTGCCACGGCCTCTTCCACGGCCTCTTCCAGCAACTTGGCAGGTAAAAGAAAAAGAGAAAATAAAATGAGACTGAGGAATACTCTCTTTTTGATTAAAACATTCTGTATTGAGCATAACCACCACACTGCTTCCCTGTGATAAGACATTATGTTAGGTATTAAGGCTGTTAATGGTCAGTAAGTTTCAGGCAACATTTTCATCTTTTGTGTTAGTTCTTCCAGTATCCAACTTCCACATACTATCTGTCCTTGGCTTCACTGCAGAAAACATGGGCATAAAATAGTTGGCTGCTCACAAATGACTGGGTACTCTGACAGGAAACCAGCATTCCTTTCTTTTATATATATATATATATATATACAGTCTAATTTTTTAGAGAGAAATACAAATTTTGACATCCTTGTCTCAGGCACCATGTGGAAGGTCAGCATTTTGAAATGATCCCAGCATCCAACAGCTCCTACTGGTCTCAGTGATGCCTCTGCCAATTGCAGATGTGATTCTAAGGCAAAGGTCTTGACTGTGTGCTCCCAGTTTTAATTACTGCTATTTAATTTTAAAGGGAAGACAGAACATAGGACAGTGCAGGCCACAAGCAACTCCTGAATGTCATATGATCCATAAGGTGACAATGTGCCTTTGCATCTCTCTATCCCAAAGAAATGTGACTCACCAGACTGCAAGGACACTCCGCAAACTTCAGATGATTGCTTCATTTCAAATGTGTTTGTGAGTGCAGGGCTCAAAAAGATACTGAAAACTGTGGAAGCTGGTGGCTCTCTAAGAGACACCTGCTGGCACCCGCACTCAAGGAGCAGGCTGTGACAGTAACTCTGGGATGCAGGTTAGAAATTCCAAGAAGACAGAAGGAGCAGAGACACAGGACAAATCTGACTTAAGCAAGGTGTCACTGTATTGCTGGTAATACAGTGACCCTGTAGAATCCTTGGAAGCATCACCCCAGCTGGAGGATGGCAGCATCAGCAGGTAGCTGTGCTCACCAAGTGCCAGCATGCTTGGACCCAAGGCACGTGTGGCACATATGCCCCAGCCAGTGTCCTCCCCTTTCCTGACATTTGCTAAGGACAGAATCAAAGGTCTTACCCTTCTGAAGGCCAAAGGCATTTATGGATTAAGGCAAAGCACAGCACAGCTTTGGTCTGAGAGTGCTTCTGCACACTGGGGACGCAGGGAGCATCAAATGGAGGTAACTGGAGCTATCAGGGCTGCTTTCCCCAAAGCTGACACCAGGTAGGGATGCTTTCATTCACACCACGACGCGAGGTTCATCAAGAAAGCAATGCAACCACACTCATTTCTCTGTGTGGTCAGATTGTTTTTAATGAACCTGAGAGGAGCAGAGCCCCTCTGGGAGCTTCATCCTTATTCCCTATCAAGGCAGCAGCTGCAGCGCTCACACTCAGCGCTGCACAGCTGAGGTTCTTCACCCATGCAGAACACCCTGCACGCCCACACACTTCAACACTAATTACAGGAGAAACGGTACAACATGACTGTAGAGCACAATTAGCTTTCACTTACAGCTCACTGTTTTTAAAACACACAGATTAACTGCTGGGGAAAATATATACTGCTGCTGATTTCCTGGGATTTACTAGAGACTCATCTTCAGTAGTGTGGATTGAATTTGAGTTACAGTCTGTACTGTCAGGCTTCTAAGAAAAAGGATTTTTATTCAGCAGCACTTTGAAAACATATTTCCAGCGAGAGCAGAAGAGCTGAGACTGGAACACTATTGGGAACCAAAGCTGGAGATACAGCCTCAATTCCCTCAGGTTCTCAGGTCTCTCAAGTCCATAGATACAATTTTTATCCCCCACCAAATTTCAGTGAACCATTTAACACCATTTCAGATACGGTCCTGCACTTGTTATCTGTGTGAAGCTCCCTGTGCAAACTGAGAAAACACAGACACCTGGAGAAGAGGAAATGTAAATCTCTTTGGGTGCCAACTGTAAGACTCAGGTTATTCAAGCTGATAAACATTTACATTTTTAAAAACAGATGCATGAAAAGCCGTAACACAACCTCATGCGAATGAAGCTCTGCAGATGCCAAGGAGGTGGGCAAGGCAGACTGAGCCAGTGCCGTGTCAAACCATCAGTGACAAAGGAATTCCATGCCAAATGCAATGTTGACAAACTCAAATCAGACACCTTCAGACTCACAGCACTAAAATGCACACAAAGGCAGAACAAATACAGACTAGGAAAGCACAAACTCACCTGCTTCTCTTTTCTTGGATTTTACTTTTGGTTCAACATCCACTAGCAAAGTATCCAGAGGCAAACTGTCTGGCAGAATGAAGTAGCGGATGTTGTTCCCTCGAATGCTCAGCGTCTCCAGCTGCACAGGCTCTCTGTTCTTCAGGGTCATTTTCACTGCTTTCAGATGCGTGTTCATACTGACATCCACTCCTGAAACAACACAAGCCTCGTTCAGGGATAAGGTCTCTTCTTGCCTTTTTTAAAGCACACACATGAAATGAGACTTACCCTGTTCATCAACACCTCCTTCTACCACTCATGAATTACTGCAGCCTGTCACAGAATGAAACTACATCTCTTTTCTCTCTTGAATCATGCCAGTTACCATGAGAGGCCTTTAGCTCCTCATGGTTACAAATCTTTATCCAGGTCCTGGCAATAGCTGCTTTGTAAATGGTTAAAATAACTCCTCTGAACAACAATAAACTACTGCTCATTACAGAAGGCTAATACTACTCTTTAGTCCTTTAAAAAGAAGTAAAACAACCCTTGGAGGAGAAAGAATAACCTGGGTAATTTCCTTTTCCTGTAAACCTTAGGCAAATCCAACCACAAAAGCAACATTTATCTTCTGATAAAATACATTCAACACCAGAGTGAATTCTCTGTGAAAGTACATAAAATACCCCACTGCAAGGAACAACAACTGTGGTTACAAACTCTGAGAACAGCCAGTACAGAAGAATTGTATGGAATCAGCACTGTGCACACTATGCTGTGTTATGCATCATTCCAAACTGGAAAAAACATCTCAGCTGGATCCATGTACTGTGTAACAGCCATGAGGAGCAATTAAAAAAACCCAAAGTTTTTATTTTGCATATCCAGAGCTTTAGGTGGGATCTGATCTCCAGCTACGAAGATCAAAATGACAGTGATTTTATTTTTCTGTCCTCTCCCCCTCCCTTTTACAAGGCTTTTACACAGCTCCACCTGACCACTCCCTTGGCTGGTGTGAGGGGCATTACACAAAACCTGCCCCTTCATCCCTGCTCCTGCCCTGGAGCTGGAGGAAGAGGACATTGTGCAATGTTTTTCAGATTCTTGCCAGAAAATGAGAGAGGCTTTGCTCCACAATTAAGCCTGAAAGAGCAGCGGGGTGAGGAGCCCAGCAGGGTTTGCTCCCACCTGGCTGGGTTCAGCAGAGCGTGCTGCAATCGGGCTCCAAGGTGGCTCCCTCAGCTCTTAATCAAAGCTGATGGACCTGGCTGCAAAACAATGCCAGCTCTGACTCTGCCAAAGCCCCACAGACTGCTGCTGGCCAAAACATCATCTCAGCAATCCCCCGGAATAAAATCCAAACTTAACAAGAGGTGTGTATTTTTTTTATCAAGAGTGCCTGGGCAGAAGGGCTTCTGAAAGCCGCCTGCAGGAGAATTCAGGGAGATGCAGCAGCTTCCTCAGCGCAGCCGGGAGGGTTTGCCTCATTAAACACACCGTGCCCCACCTACATCCTACCTGATAGCTCACAGGAACACCCTCAGAGCAACGTCCCTCACTGAGGTTACTAAAGCAAACAAAATGGCTTGCATGTGTTTTGGTATGTGAGGGCCACGTAATGAACCCTGCAGAATTCCCTGCAACCTTCAGCTCAGTGACACAAAGCAGCACCTGCTAATCAGGAACCCCACAAACCCACAGGACAGACCTCTGGCAGCAGCAGGGGAGCAGATTCTCCTGGCCAGGATTCCTCCGTGCCCTGTATCCCACAGCCAGCTCTGCCTTTTCAAACCCACCTCTCACACAATCAAACGCATGCAAATACGCATTTCCATCTAGACTTGCCTTAACAAAAAATCAACAGAAATAATTAACTTTATCTTTTAGTCTACCTGCAGAATTTAACCAATTTAAGACCACATCAGCTGGAAAAGGTTGCCCAGAGAAGCTGTGGATGCCCCATCCCACATGCAAATCTGCCTTTCCATCTAGACTTGCCTTAGCAAAAAATGTGCTCAACAGAAATAATTAACTTTATCTTTTAGTCTACCTGCAGAATTTAACCAATTTAAGACCACATCAGCTGGAAAAGGCTGCCCAGAGAAGCTGTGGATGCCCCATCCCTGGCAGTGTTCCAGGCCAGGCTGGATGGGGCTTTGAGCAACCTGGTCTACTGGAAGGTGTCCCTGCCCATGGCAGGGGGTAGAACTGGATAATCTTTACTGTGTCTTCCAATCCAAACCATTTTGTGACTCTGTGACTGTGCAACTAAAATTGTAAGAGACCACCGAGCCAGGTTTGGAATGCTTCCTTCCAGACAAAGCTGCAGCTGGGCTCAGAGGCTCCCAGTGCTACAGCGAATTCACAGCTCCCAGCAGAACCTTAAAACAAATCTCTGACCACGGATGCACTCACCCACTACTGCACATCAAAGACAATCCGCGACCCACTGAAATTCCCAAGGCTGCCTATGGAGAGCCGGCTGGTCACAGCTCCCCACTGTTCCCGGCAATTCCCGACAATATCCAGACGCTTTTGCAACACCAACACACCTCGCGCTTGCACACAAAGCTATGGATTACAAAGCCCATCTCCCGTATTTCCCTGTGCCGGTCCCCGCAAGAGGGAGCACGGGACAAGAATCTCATTCAATCCGCGACTGCCAGTGGTCCGTCGAAAGGCTCCGGGGAGCATTTTGCTGCATCCTGCCATCCTCCCGTACCTGTGATCGTTCCATGCACCTGCGTCCCATTCTTCAGCTCAATGGTCACAGTCTCATGGCTCAGCTTCATCAGAAACCTGGGAATTAAAGATGCATTTTTAAAAAACCAAACCCGTTGACTTCCACATAAAGCCGTAGGGGTTGGACAGGCAGCACCCCGCGGCTCCGCGTCCCGAGCTCCCAAAGGCGGCGCTCAGGGATTCTGCTGGGATATTCAGGACACACTGCACGTCCTGCCCAGCCACCGGGAGCTGGGACGCTCGACTGACACACTGCCGCATCCAGCATCTACTTCCAGGCGAAACGGCCATTACTGTTCCAAGGAGGAACCATTTTAAAAACCGGTACAATCCCGGGAAGGCAACGCCAACGCACTCCGGGGCTTTCCCTGCACACAGGAGCATGGGGCTTTGCTGAGGGATCCGCGCAGGCCCCGGGGCGGGAGCGCGGCCCGGCCCGGCGGGGTCCCCGCCCGGCCCGGCCCATCCCGGGCCGCTCCCGCCGGGCCCATCCCGGGCCGCTCCCGCTCCTGGCGGGCGGGCGGACCCGCCGGCAGCGCCCGGCCCCGCCCGTGGGGGAGAGGGCGGGAAAAGGTGAGGGGATGGAAAAGAGGGATGGGGGAAAAAGAAGGAGATGGGAATAGAAGTGAAGGGACTTGGTCTACGAAAGACTGGCTTTTTGTAAGGTTTTTCAACTACCAGCATGCCTTCCTTAGTTAAAAATGTATGTTAGGAAAGAAAAAAAGACTACTTTGTTTTAAACCTGCTTTGATCTTTACAAATAGGAAAAAATCCAAGGCCTAGAACCTGTAAAGCACCAATTTATTGTGAAAAATGATACAGCTTCAGGATCCAGGACTGTAATAGCAAGAAATTTCTCTCTGTGCGTCAGTCTCTTCACCTAGTGAGGGTAAAAGGGAAAGGAAGAAAACACCTTGAATTTTCAATTTTCACTTATTGGTATGGCCAGTAAGAGGCTGCCCTTGTGAGGAGAGAGGCAAAGAGCCATCGGCGCTGAGCAGAGGTGACAGTGGGGATGCAGCACTCCAGCCACAGGTGCTCCTGACAGAGAGCCAGCCGTGGCTGAGGAGAGGAACAGCCCAGAGTGCAGAGTGACAGCAGGCACTGCCCGAGATCAGCCCTGTCTGAGGCATGATCCCCACCTGCACCCAGCACACACAGAACTGAAGCAGCCCTCAGGCGTGAAACAGCTCCTAAGGAACATTTGGGGACACTGCTCCAAAGCACAAAATGCACTGCAGACAGCTCATCTAGAAAAGCTGAACATTTTATTGTCATTTAAGAGTAGTACACCATTTGTGATTTTAGAAATACAGACTCTTTGCAAAGCACTGAAACACGGGTGCCTTCCAACTTCTAAAACCTACGTTATTCTACCTCTTACAAACCTTTTATATTAGCAATTCAAGTTTGGTTTTTGCTGCAACAAGTTCTTCACCAAAGGTGCAGCAACTTAGTTCCAGACTGCAAGACAACTGAGCCAAGTTTCAAACTCCACCTGCCAGTGAGCCACCAGAACCACTGCTTTCAAATATTGAGTCTATGATGTTCTTGTACTTTGTGCCCATGAGGGAGTTCATCTTTGAAAATTTTAAGTTAGGAGGATTTTCCAGTTAGCCACCAACTGGTATTTTTCCATTACAGCATCTAGAAGCAAATGGATGCCTTGCAAGTACTAGTGCTCATGAATAGGTCATGTTTACACAAAACCCAGAGAGGCCTCCAGAAACATTCAAGGTTAAAATGAACAGTTGCAAAAGGAAAAAAAAAAAAACAACAAAAAAGGAAGAATCTGTACATATTTTCAGTCATAACACAAGGGAACACTGGAGTATCAGTGTTTTGTGTTCTAGCTTCAACAGTGACACCTGTGCTAGCCCTAGTAGTATTCTACATGTTTGTCCCTTCCCCCCCACTTAAATTTTATACTCGCAATCTGAATATACAGCTGTACTTACAGGAAATATTAAACAATGCACAGCGCCTCAAGCAAGTTCCATGTCTGGTTTTGAACAAACCTTATAAAACAAGTGACAAAATAGATTAAAATTGGTCCTTATTTTTATACAGCTTGGAAGCACTAAATTTAAAGACACACATTAACCAGCACAAATTAGTCTGCAGTTTTTTTTTCTCCTTTTTTTTCTTAAAAGAGTGTGTTACAGTATCATGCATGAAAAGCAAGCTGCTGCTCCCAAGTAGAAACACTGAGTTTACACTTACTGCTTTCTTCTCAGGCTGTTATTCCCTCTTTCATAAATTATTTCAACATAACCAAGGATAGAAGCAGCTGACTAGCAAAACAATATGAAGTTGATCTTTTAGGTTGTGACCCATTCTTAAAGTAATGGAGTACTTTGGAACTTTAGCATAAGGAAGGTTGAATAAACACTGCAAAGGACTTTTACATTCTTTGATTTTGTTTACATCTTCAGAAAGAAAATTCTACATTTTAACTCGCTAACTACTGGATTTTCATATGGAGACTGTAGTATTGAAACAGTGCAAGACATTTGCAACTTCAGGAACATCCAATTACACTGCCCTTTCACCCAAACAATGATTAGCAGAATATTGCATCAGTTCTAGATAAACAAGACAGGACAAAAACCTCATTTTAGAATAGCATTAGGATTCAAAAATCTTTCATATTTAGTGAAAAGAATCCACACACAAATATGCACGAAGGACTCCTTAACACAGACTTTATCACAACAAACATTATCCAGCTGTAAGTCTGGACCAAGACTTTTTATTGGTAAGAAGCCATATTTGTTCAGAGATGCCTATCAGATGTTCCATTAATAATGCTTCAACATTTGGGTACTTTGAGACACGAACAGCGTCAAAGCTCTCTCCTGTCAAGGCCAAAAAACCAGCTGGAACAACCCAGGTGGAGCATGAGCTTAAGCAGTTCACTTAAGTTCCAAAACATTCCAGACACCAAAAAGCTGGCTTTTGTCTTTGCATTACCCCAGTAAGGGTGGAGCCCTGTCCACTAATGCAATATTCCAAAGACCATTGCAACTAAGACTGTCAAGTCAGGTCTCAGTTGAAAGCTACCACCACCACAGGACACTGTTTCCTTACCCCTGACCCCCCCCACTGCCAAGGAACAATGTTCATAAGAGCATTTTTTGGTGTGGAAAGCAGGTCAGTAGAGACTCCAAGTGTGGCTTGAAGAATCCTCAGTACCAAGCCGCTTTCCACACACACAAATTCAGTCCATCTTCTCCTTCTGGACCAGCTTGGGTGCATCTACGAAATCTTTGCCGTTGTAAAGGATGATAGCAAAAGTTCCAAAGCTGGCACTTCCCCAGAAAAGCACATAGGCCAGTGTCTCAGTCCATGTATCACCTGAGAAGAGTCAGATAGAAGTTTTAGCTCATTATCTCCAATTAGCAGAGAGTTTTACTTTAGGAAAAATGCAAATATTTCAAGCTCTCCCTCAGAGATTTGTTGTCAAATGAAATCAGAAGTCTTTCACAGATCTTTTTCTGTTTCCTTACCTTGGAATATTTGCATTTGCTACACAGTTCTTGGAATACATTGAATAGAGATCTATGGAAGTCAGTCAAGAACTCTACTGGAAACAATGTTCGAAAATTCAAGGCAAAAGCAGAAGGCAAAAACCTTCACCACTCCCAGCACAGATTTAGATTAAAGGGAAATCCATCACAACCAGGCTTATGCCTGTATCTGACAGCTCTGAATTGTCTTTCTGCCCAAATTAGACAGATATTCCTCTGGGGCTTCATCCAGCCTACAATAAAGCTACAGGTCTACCAAGGTGCATCTAAATTTGCAGATAATTAACTGTCCCTTAATTGACTTCTACATGAGTTTTCATATTATTTTCAATAGCATCTCAGTTTCTTCCACACTAATGATACAGTGCTAGGCTTCAATCTCCAGAGCCATGTTCAAGCACCTTTTAGAATGGCTGAGAAGCAATTCTACACTGAACAGTTACTGGTAACCATTTGCACAAAGTTCACAGAGAAATAAGCCAGTTTTATAAAATTAAACTCAATAGTGACTTACCAGCCATTAGCAAACAAATAATGCACATGGAGAAAGCAACCACCATAATAATAGGCAACTGAGGAAAGAGAAACAGAATAATCACTTGATACAGCAGTACATATGTTCCTTAATTTCCTTTAAGATGGGTTGTACTGTAAAGCTGTTTACTTGCTTTGCCTCTCAATTCACCTGCATTCAGGTACAAATAAAAGTCTGGATAGTTCCAAAATCTGGAAGACTGTATTCAATAATTATGTTTAGAATTGAAATACACTTCCTGTGCATTTCTCAATTCGCCTGCATTCAGGTACAAATAAAGTCTGGATAGTTCCAAAAATGGAAGACTTTATTCAATAATTATGTTTAGAATTGAAATACACTTCCTGTGCATTAAAAGAGAGGTTGAGATTTGTTTTGTTTAAAAACCAAATAGATACACCAGTTAAACCCATTATGTTCCCAAATCCCATTTCAAAATGAAAGGGAAGGGTGAAAAAAGTGTAAGGAGTGGGGGTTTTGTGTTACAATCTATGCTTCTGCATGAAGTGTGAGAAAAGAAGATTCTTCTGCAGAATGAAACAGTCATTGATAGTGACTAGTAGGATTATCCCCCTTCCACCTGGTGAAGCATATTTGAAAAAAAGCAAGCAGCAGTTTTTCCAATACCTCAAGGACACTCCATTTTCTGTCAAGAGAAGAGCCTGGGTTTAATCCTATAAGCAGGTATCATAGAATCATTACCAGATTACAGGGATGCTTTATGACTAACAGACAAGTCCTACTCAGGCATAATGACGCCAGTGACTGAATTGTTGTGTTTCTCTTATTACAAATAAAGTCTCCATACTCACAGCTAAGAACTTCCAATCTTTCTTGACATGTAAAGGACTAGCAGGTTCTACTTCATCCACTGAGTAATTTCCAAGAAAAAGATCAATTGCATCCTGGAAGACAAAGGGAGGGCAAGAGTTAGAATGCACAACAATGTTAATCAAATACACTTCCCCGTGGTTAAAAGCTTTACTTACTTGTCTAAATCCATCAGAAAAGTTGTTTTTGTAGTAACGTATTAATGAGTTCCAGCCATCCATTATTAAGCCCCACTGAGT